GGGGGGGGGGGACTCGCGGCCAGCATGGTAATTTCAGACCATTAGCCGCGTCCTTGCAAGAGTTTAATCTCGAACGAAATCCCGATTTCCATGACCGGACGACGCCACGAGCAAAAAGGCACCACCTCTTGTCGGACAGGTGACCAGGTGAAAAAGTAGAATTCTGACGGTTGACGCCTGTCGCCTTTAAACACACGTCGCGATTGGCGATGTTGTACGTGTGGAGATTGTTTATCTAGAAGGAGCGGATCGCGAGAAATGATGAACGAATGGAGACGACATTTGATAGAGGACTAAGATGATGGCAGTAGAATGTGAAAAATAATGAGAGTTCGCGAATTTCACGCGTGTAGAAGAGTTTCTAGAAATAACATTCTCTCAAGATATCTGATAGAGAATATGAATATTAAACAGTGTAGTTTCATTTCGACGTGTTGTTTTCTTCAACAAATTGACACATGCGTTGATGGTCTTCAAATTTATCGACAATCACAAATCCTTCATCTTCCATCTAACAATCGAGTAAAAGCAATTATTTTCGAAACACCAATCCCAAAGCTGAGAAAGATACAATGACAAAATGAAAAGTGCAGAACCTATCTTCTGAAGAAACATTTGACTCCCCATAAATAACATTCTTTCCCACCCTGAAACGATCTAATCCTTTTGGTCCATTAAGCTCGAGTTAACGAGATAGCGTTCGGGTTAAGAAAACGCAACGAACGACACGGACGACGTATAATTACAACAGCATTTGCCAGGGTGGCTGCTCGCAAAATGGCCGACGTGACCCTTTCCTCGTGTAATTAGCAGCCAATAGACAATCACGTAACTCACAGTCAGGGTACAGGCCTGAAGGTGGCGAAACTTGGAAATCTATTTGATGGTGGTAGAAGTCGGTTGTTAACAGCCCTAGCACGAGACTAGGCAGTCTTATCTCGCGGACGATCGATAAACCTGCTGCGAAATGGTCCCGGGAAAATTTAAATCGCGCGCGATTCGACTGTAATCGTCCTTAATCGTTGCCACGCCATAATCGCCTCGTGAAAACGACGTTCGCGTGATTTCAATTCTCCCCTTCCTTTTTCTTCCCTTTCAAACGTGTCGATCGCGATGCGATCTTTAAAGATCCCGCGAAGATCGAGATGCGAGTAGAGTGTTCAATGTCTGTATTGGACAGGTACATCACACGCAATAAAAGTGGCGTCGAAAAGTTTCGTTTTAAAATTATAAGGTTGAGTGGTTTGGATATGTATAATAATTGCAAAAAGGATATCTAATTATGCCTCGATCGCTTGCTATTTTTGAAATTTAACTAGTAGAATTAATTGGAAGTGGTCTGTGCTGTTCCATGCTACCATCGTCTGGGATTTGATTATAGTTACTAATTTTGCAGGTGGAAATTTTGTAAGCAATTTAATTTTGGTAATTTCTGTATGATTTTTATATTTTGTTCTCTCAATTGTGTTGTAGGTAAATTTAAATTTGTGGAAAGAGGAGAGGAACTAGAATAAAATATATTTGTTTCTTCTCGTCACAAAAGATCGAAAAAGAAGGCATGTTTTATTCTACGACGTCGATTCTATCGTATGTCGTAGTATTTAAATTCTTTGAAATTCATCGTTGTATCATCGTGCATCACTTTCCGCTGTTTCTTACGTTTTGAGTGTTGGGACTCATTGCCGAAGAAATTCCATATTGATAAACAATCGTCGGCTTGAATGGCTGCGAAAAATATATATTTTTTCGCATACTAATTCCTCTGACGACGTTACGAACATACTTCACAATGGAAATACAACAATATACAATATTAGCAAAGCAATACGAAAATTGGAAATTAACACTAAATTCTCCCCTGAACGAATCGTGCTAAAATACACATTCTTTTCTAATAGTTAGTATTTTCCAAAAAAGTTCTAATTTTCGTTGTTAGTGAAATACGAGTGTGTATCAATGTTTTACAGGGACAACTTTCTTGTTAAAAAAACATATAAAACTTCGTCTGAACTAAGAACTCTCTGTACCGTTATGTACAATGTATCTTCCAGAATGAACACATATACTTTGAACATCCACATTATTATTACTGCAATTACAAACAACATTTTATACAACCCAAACCAATCATGATTGACCATAGTCACACCGATAAAACCAGATACAAGTGCCATTGGAATTAATGGTTTTGCACGTATCTATCTCTATCTACAGGTTTATCACATAAGGATATTTAAAATGACCTTTTTCCCATATTACAGATAATTAGAAGCTTCGCTCTTATTACGTTTCTTGCGAACGACATTGAACTGCGGATTTTTATATATATATTTCTGAGAAAATAGCTAAAGATAGATAGGTTTCACCTATTAAATATTTTCAATATTTTCAATATCTTCCTCTATCACGTGGATTCTACGTATTTTTCGAAAATTTAGAGTTTCTCACAAATGTATAAAAATCCTCAATCAACGATTCCACAGTCTCGTCGAGCAAGTCGAAATAATTTTGGACAGATTGATTAACGGAAACATTGAAATGACGACTTTCACGTACCTAGCTGCGTGTGATCAGAGTTCCACATAACAGCGTTCACTTGCATTTCCTTGTCCACGGGTAACACGTCCACTATGCGATCGAGACTCGCGAAAACCGGCACCACGGTGTATTGCTTCCGTCTTTTCAAGTACGACCAATGAACGACCAACTCTCCGCTGTGCTTGTTCCACAACATATTCTCCACGGCACCATCAAACTTCACGTCACGATAGATTGGCGGATTTAATTTGTTCATGTTCCAAAGGGACAGCGAAGCGTCACCCATACCACCGCCGACGCATAACACACCACTCTCGTATGGTTGCCAGGCCAGCGACTGAAACATTTGTCTCAAAATTAGAGATGATAGAATGTCCTTAACGACGTGTCTATTCAATTTAGAGACTATTCTCTCATTTTTATGATATCAAGATTTTTAGACCAGTCACGTGAGAATATTAAACGACATAGGTATTTGAATTTGACGGATTGGGAACGAATTTCAAGGAAAGACTTCGTGTTTACCGGAAGATCGACTTACCGTGACAGATTCGTAATAAATGATGTCCAGATGCGGGGAGAAATTTGTCCAGTTGAAAATTCGCACGTTTCTGTCCAACGCAGAAGACGCGAGATATCGATAATTCGACGAGAATGCAAGCGCCACAACAGTCGCAGACTGTACTTGAAATAAATGATCAACTTTCCCATCCTTCGCCGAATAAACCAGGATTTCCCCTTTGGTGCCGCTGCAAACCATTAAAATGTAATCGTTCTAATTTATACCCACGTATCCTCGAGTTCTCTAAGAGCAATTAAAGTACTGAAAGCAAAAATCCTACAATTATCATCGTATTGAAATGTATGTAAAGTTATTAAAATATAAGTAGAAAATTCTAAATAGTAACGATAATAATATTTTAATAATATTATTACAATAATAATAATAATAATAATAATAATAATAATAATAATAATAATGAGTTAATCGTTGCCCGAGGAATATTCCGCTTCCTCTTGCAAATAAATTAATATTCACAAAGTAGAATGAATAAAAAGTGATGTCTGAGAATATTCATGGCAACTGGAGTCTCGCGTCCGATTGAAAATATTTTCCTCGCGGCGTGTACAAACGATCCGTGAATGATTATGGTAATTAAATCAATGACATTTATCAAGCGATATCAGATAGTAATAAACTCTCGTTAAGCGATGCAAATGATGATCAGTAATGGACGTCGTTTACGTCTGTCTTATTTATTCGACGAATCTTTATATGGACAGGTATTACTCACACGACGATATGCTGGTCGTTCTCAGACCAACAAATGCAACGCACGATGTTTCTGCCTGTAGCCGTCCAAATCATCTTTTGCGTGTCTATGCAGTAAAGGTTCACTTCTAACATCAGGGTGCATATTACCAGTTTGCTGCCTGATGAAGGAGAAATGTGAAAGTTCTGTCAGAGTAATAGACAATAGTCAAACGTCTGGTAGGAAATTGAATTTTACCTACCAGCGTTGTTCCATTTTATCGCGCAAACATCCGATATTTCCACGTTTTTCGGAGATTGATAAACGTCAGATTTGTTGGTGTCGTAGAATGCCACGCAGTTTTTAACTGCTGTCGCGATAAAATTTTTCGAGCCCCAGTCGGTGAGTTCTTTGTAGGAATAGGAATCTTAAAGGAAGAAACCTTTAATTTTTATGATTACTTCCTCAAATATATTCTATGAATTCTACACTATGATACTATGATACCCAGTGAAATAACGATACATTATACAAAAATTAATGAAAATCTATAATAAAAAATATACAAAGAAGAATGTTGTTCGATTTATTAGCGTTTTGGTGAATGAAAGAACATCAACAAGTGCAAATGGAACTTTCTGTCTAAGAGAACTGTGGAAGAGAACGTAATGGACCTTGGAGTGGATCGATGAAGGAAAAGTGCTGGTGATTCGTGGTAACTACTGACTCGTTCGCAAATATGCTAGAAAATTCTTACATGGCAGCGCGTTATATCCAGGCATATCTAACATACAGTTCATCGTGCCTATTAAAGGTCTCTTTCGTGGCTTCGATTTCCACATTCCATCTTCCAAGTATTGGTCGTCCCACAGGTCTTTAGGTAGGCCAGCTAAGCTTCCAGGTACCTTGTTTTCCCGGGACAAGCAATTACCGCGCAGCACCTGTTTCTGTCTCAGCCCTGGTATTATGTTTCGGTCCACCATTAATTGGTGCATAAGCTTCTTTCGCCATTCGGTCGACAGAGACTTCACCTGTTTACCATTTATCAGGGTTTAGTGACTTGAGCGACAAATTGACGCCATCTACTCGTAATTTACACTTTGTTTTTCTTTGTTTTAGAATGTGAATTTTAGGAAAACTTTGAAATTCACGGGTCAAAAATATAATACAATTATAAAGGAGAAAAATTATTGTAGCTATTTATCCCGTCTTCTTTCACCTTATTCAACAATATCACAAAGGGTTAACTCGTTTGCCCCAGTTAAGTCATTATTTTTCACAACGCAATCAGAAAATAATTAAGCGAAACGTTTCATCGCCGTTATCCACGTTCGAATTTTCTAAATTATCAACTACTTTGCGGAATTTCTCTATTCTCTGAATTGAAGACTACCGAACGTTCTCTCTCTCTAACACAATCTCAGCAATTTCTTCCGTCATTTGCAAAACGAAAGTTGCAGTGGGTGATTATCGCCATAAATCGCATCATCGTGCATGAACAGCGCGCATCGATGAAGCTATTCACTGAGATTCATTACGCGAGAACAAGGATAAAGCGAAATATCCTGGTCGAATGTCAAACGAGAAAAGAGTGAACGGACAGGCAACGAGGACGAGGTGGAGAAGTTGGCAGAGGAAACCATGTTACCATATTACCGTCTGTTATTACAAGCAATGTTATCATAGTTGCGTTACACGCAGGAAATTGCATTCCTCCGAACGTCTTCTTCGGCGATCCGGGATTTCGAGATCTCTCGGTTTAATTAAAATTTTCCAATTTCCTTGCAATTCGTTCCTTTCTTCTCCCCTTCTATATTAAGCCATCGCCAATAAACGCTCGATAAGTTTTCACCGTTGATTCCTCCGGTATTTTGCATTAACTCTGAGTGCTTTCGAGGGAACGTAATTATACCTACGTACTTGTAACCTCATCCTATATTGACGTTCTTTTTAACTTCCAAAGATCTCTCTAACTTTTCATCGCCTTATGTTTTATCAATTTTTCATCGATTTTTCTCGAACCCTTACTCTTAATGATGAGTTCCTAACTCTAAGTGGAATCTAAGTGGAATAATTATTAGAATTAGAATTTGTAGAAAGAGAGAGAGAAAGATCCAGTTCTAATAATTTGACAGAATTTTGAATGTATGTACGTATATTTTAATTTATGAGAAACTGCACGCATCAATAATAGACCTTCCAGACCTCTAGAAAATGTTTTATTGAAATTTCGAAAGCATAAGAAAACTTGTTCACTAAATAAGGACGAAATTCAAGATAGTCTTCTCTAAGAAAATTTCGTTGGAAATTTTTCTGAAACGATTCGAGAAATTCTCGACATTACGAGCCAATTTACTGATATAGCTCCACGAATATCTCACGAGTTTATTGAATTTTTCTAACATCTTCGCGCGATGAATTCTCGTTAGTTTTGCAAAATATATTAACGCCGGATTAAGCGATATATTCATTCTGAAAAGACGAGAGGCAACGCGATAAACATAGAATCGCGGAAAGAGAAGGAGGAAGTCCTCTGTTTTTTTCCCCCCGCGTACGGGAAAATTTTTTTATTCGAACGAGAAACTTCAATTTTTCCTGACGTTTAAGAGCAGTAATTTCCCGCGCGATGAGCCGTTTCTACGCCGTGATTTCGATCTTATCTCTATCGATTATCGGAGATTACATGCCCTCATCGATAAACATGAACAAGATACCTCGCGCTCGCATCCGGACAGCCTTTATGCTAATTCGACGCTTGACGTTGCAAGCAGCGTTACCCAGCAACTGCTGTTCCGCAACTTTTTTTCTTCCCGTTCGGTAACCATTAAAATCGTTTAATGCGATCATTCGTATGCATTGGCATAGAGGAGGATGTTACCGAATCAGCGAGCGTGCCATTTAAGATCATTCATCCGTTCTTGAAATTAACGACACTGGGTAAAGAGGTTGAAGATCTCAGTTTTTACGTTGTGGTGTGCTCTGTTAAGGAAGGATTAATTCTGCTAAGAAAGATTAGCTTACCTGCTTCATCACGTCGATTTCATTTTCGTTCAACTTAACCTTGGCCCGTTTCGTTAGAAGGTAATTCGCAGCTTCCTTGTTGTAGTTGAAATTTATGAATCTGTCTACCGTGTAATTCTGATTTAGAACCTTAAATGGATACGTTTTGACAACTTTTGTGGTGAGTTCTGCAGCGATTGGTTGAGAATTCGTGACAACTGATTTTGGACCATTTTCCTGAAAATATACGCACGATGACGTTAATACCAGATACTTTAAAATTAATACATTTTTTTCTGTGTAAGAATAGAATAGTAATAAACTAAAAGCAAATAATAGTAATAATAATAGTATTCATAAAATATTGAAATAAGAAATATTCAGAAAAATACGAGAAAAATGTATAATTCGTTTTTTTTTTAACCTTATGGTATCATTGAGCAATAAAATACAATGAAAAATTGCGAATTTTTTCGAAAATGTTATCTAGATGTGAAAATTTATCAATTATCAATTAATTTCTGTTCAACTTCCCGTTCTTTGAATAAGAGGAGAAAAAATGAGGTCGGACGTAAAATTTTATTTCATTGAACGAAGATAGAAGACAAGTTTGGCAAGATAATTTGTGCTGCTAGCATTATGCACGTCTGGCGAAGTAAAGTATACGAAGGGATAATATTTATATTGAGAGCAGGCCTTATACCCCCAGCGAACGAATGTGACAAATCTGGTTTCGCACGAATGACAAATAGAACTGGGCCTTGGACCTGATCTCCTCTGGATTTTCTATATGTCGCGTACAGAACAGGTTTCCACTTATTCTTTTAAACGATTTCTTAACGCTTGTACTGGCTATCGATTTTCGCTCATTGATTAAAAGTACAAAACTAAAGACTTTTTCCTTTACGTTGTTGAAATCCTTGAAATTAAGATTTTGTGTTTCGTAGCTGTAATTATCGATACAACCTTTCTTTAATCTGAAATTCTGTAAAATGTGTAATTGTACTTAAGAAACTTTCGGTTACCTGGAACTTGGCAATCCTAAGAGCTTAGAAGGTAGCAATGAAAAATATGGAATACATTGAAAATTTCGATTAAAAATTAGCAAGTAAAAACTCGAGATTAATTGTAAATTAATTTTCAGCCAAAAATAAATCTCGAAAAACTCATTGTTAGCTCAAGTACAACTTGAACAAATTGACATCCTCTCTGCACACTGTTGAATTGATTAAGACGAGCTCGTGCAGAGGCACGCTAGAAGAATTTCCAGAATTTATGCGTTTTCGGGGCCGACAATCGCGAGACAGCAAACGTCATTACTGGGAATGAGGATCGTGACAAACGTTAATGAAATATGACGATTATAATTCGTACACGCAGAGAGTTATATTTCCAAAGGATTCAGCGTGTGTTTGTCAGCCAGTGTGCATGATGTTCGGGACTTATCGCGCGCAGAAATTCCTATAAATATACCTGTGGCTCTTCTTCTGAACATTGCACGAACGGCCACGAGCGAAACGAGCTTCTGCCACGGATTTCCGGGACGATACTTTAAACGGGAAAGCAGAGAGGTGGCATCCTAATTCCGAGTTACGATGGCGTTCCCTCGAGGCCGTTCTCTCGGCCGTAACGGTGAACGATCGTCCATTTAAATCGTCTGTATCTCGATTTATTGCTCCTCGCTTCTGGTTCTACGTCATGCGGTTTTCTTTCTTAC